CAGCTTCAGAGATATATAAAATCGTCATGGATTGAAAAAATAATAGTAAAGTTTTATCAGAATTTATAGAATCAAATAATAAAATGGTGATAGAAAATATTCCATTTATTGATAACAAATCAACCTATAGTAGTAAATTTATTAGTTGTATAAACAAATTAAATAAATGCAAGATTAAAAATATTACTGATAGTATGTCAGGTAATATTGATTTCGAAAATATAAAGGATGCTAATGTTGAAAAGATGAAAATAGACACTGATATTGAAAATATGCAAATGAATTCTAAAATATTACATATTCAAACAAGTCATGAGAAATTTAACATTAATGAAAAACGTCCTCATGAGGAAGATGATAGTATAGAAAAAGGGGTCAAAAGAATTTGTTAAGTTATTGATTTGAAAACGAAAGTTTAAAAAATTCATTTACTGATTGTTAGAACACGAATTTTATTAATTATCACAATTAATAAAAATTTTATTATCCTTATAAATAATAAAATAGTATAGCAAGTTATTCATTAATCTTTTTTTTTATTTTTTTATATATTTGAAGGTTTAAACTAGCTCTGCGTAGTTTTGATTCTTTTTTTAAAATTTTTTTTTAATAATAACTAAGTGAAATTATATATTAATAATTACATGGAATCCATTAGGAACTGGAGTGGAGCCAACAAAATTCAATAAAATTGCATAAACAAGTGTTCGCGTACAAATTAATAAAAAAAACTTTTTAATAGTAAAAAAGTCTCTGTGTCTATTTTCTTTTGCCTTTTCATTCAAATGTATTTCTCGTTCTTCAATGATTTGCATTCTATTTGTTGTGTCTACGTGCAAAAACATGTTGCTCACTTTTCTGCATCTCTCCTTTTTCTATCTTTTTTTTTTTTTTTTTTTTTTTTTTTAAGCAAAAACCATTCTTGGTAATTTTATTGATAATATTGTGTTACTACAGCAATTTTGTAGTTAATACATTGTTATATGTTCCTAACTACAGCTATCTAATTTACTCAAGGATCAGGCTGCTTTACCCGTGGTCTGGACTTATATCTAAGCAGACCAAGTTCTTGCCTAGACTGTGAAATTTATTATCGAAAATATGTTTACACCATCCTGTATGTATTTTTTCGCCTATTTATAAAGTTTTTGGTTTACTTCCTGGTCTTTTTCTTTAGTGTTTTTATTGCTTTCGCTTGGATTGCTAGTCTTTGGTATAATGTTGGAGGTCTTAGCAGACTTGTTTTTTGTTCTTTGAGTATTTTGGTGAGTTTGGATTTTCCTCTGTTTCCAGATTTCATCGTATAGGCCTTTGATGATTTTGTGTAGTAGAGTTCCTACATCCTTGTCTTTTCTTGTAATATTTTTGAGTTCTTTGAGTAGGTCTGAGCTGATAAGGCCTTGAAGATTCTGTAGTGAGCTGTCGATTTTATCTTCACTTGTCTCGAAGTGCTGAGCAACAAAGTCTCTTATTTGTTGATGGGACATCTGCTTCTCTTCCTTGATAGTTTTTTTCTGTGATTTTTTTATTACTTTGTGTATTATCTCTTTGGCTGATGGTTTGTTTTCTTGACATGCTAGCTAGTGGGCGTTGTCTTCTTCTTTATTCTTGTATCTGTAGCATGTTGGGCTTGGGTTTTTTTCTTTATTCCATTTATAGAGGTTAGTTGCTACGGGTAATTCATCAAATAGGAGTTTAATTTTAAATACTTTTAATGCAGAGTGTTTGGGGTTAGTTTTTCTTGTTATTGGTATAGCGTTAATGTTGAGGTATTGGTATAGGAAATTCCCATGAAAGCTTGTGCCCCAGTGGCTAGCTCTGTTGGTTGAGTGCCAATAGGCTATTTGTTTTGCATTTTGGATATTACGTATGAAGCGTCTTGTAGTTAGATGTACTGCAGTATTATGCCATAGCAGTGTAGTCATGTTGTAGCCTGATTTTTGTAAGTCGATAGCTGTGTTTATAAAGTTTTGGAGATCTACAAAACTTTTTGTTCCTTTTATATATTCTGAGTTTGTCTTGTCCGTTATTAGTAGGTTCATTTTGATATTTTTCTTTTCTATGCTAGTAGTGATATTGTTCCAAAATTGCCAGTACTTCTTTTTTGCTAATTGGTTTTTTGTTTGTGTATTTTGGATAGTAGCTTGTAGGTTAGTTAGTATATATTTGTTTGTAGTCTGAATTGTTATCGTGCTGCTTATAGGTGCAACTGCTATGATTGTCATGATTGCAGCTATGTTTGCTGTTGTTTTTTGCTGCCAGGAGTCTACCCTTCCTGTATATATATATGGCGTAGATGTTATATACCATGTGAAGTAGTATTGGGTTCTTGTCTCTTCTTGTAGCTTTTTCGTTACGATTGTGAAATTTAGGTTTTTGTAATTTTTGATAGCATCTGCTATTGTTGTTAGGTGCTGTTATGCTTCTATATTAGTAAATGTGTTGTGAATTATATTATAGGAGAGGGAGCTTTTTTTATTCGTAGGTCTGTTATCAGTGCTATTGGTGTCTACTCGGCTTTGTTGCACTGTGATGTTGTTTGCTTGGATAATAGATTTAAGGTGGCCATATATTTTCTTGGTGCTGCTTACTGTTACTAGTTTGCATTGCGTTAGTTTAGCTTCGATTGCACATTTACCATAGTAAGTTGCTGTAGATAGCTTGCATCCTTTGCACTGTTGGAGTTTTTGGGGTTGATTCTCTTCATTTCCCTTTAGTATTTTCCAGTGTGTCATAGTTATTTGTTTGTTTGGTTTGCAAGCGATGATTTTCCCAATTATTTGTGTGTCTTGAATTCTATATATTACCCATTCTTTTTTCCCCTCCTGAGTTTCGGTAGAGTAGAAAAGGTTAGGTTGGATGAGTTTGGTTTCTTCCTTTTTTGTAATAGCTGCTAATATTATCTCTGCTATTGTTTTGTGCCATTTTGGTTGCTTGCCCTTTGGAATTTTTTGTGTTGTATGTGCTATTTGGTTCTATTTTATTACTGTTGTATTATTCACGTCGGTAAACTGCTCTATGTAGTATAGTTTATGCTTGTTTAGCTTTTCTTTTAGTTTGGTTTTTTGTTTGTATATCTCTGTGTTTAATGGATCATTTAGTATCGAGTTGATGCTTGTGCCTTTTCGTTGCTGTGTAATTGGCCACTGTGCTAGCAAGTTTGATAAGCTGAAGTCTGATTTGTGCGAGAGCATAATTTGCTTTGCAGTTGTTGTGTTGTCTTCTAGTGTTGGGATGACTATAGTTTTCGAAGTTAAAATTGATTCGTTCGATGTGACAGCATCCTGTATCTGTTGGATTCTGATCCTGAGTGATTGGTTTGTGTTGTTTTTGCTATTTAGTTGTTTAGTAAGTGTGGATATATGATGTTGTATAATGATATTCCACATTTTCCTTAGGGCATATAGCTTGTGATTGTGTATTGTGGAATTAGGAATTCCACGTGGTAGGCCCGCTTTTTGTTTGATAATTGTCGTATATTGGTCAGTTATTTTGTTGCATCTATTCTCATTAAGGATACAGTTTTGTGATCTGTATTCAAATCGTGTTAGAATTACTGAATTGATTACATAGATTGCCTGTTTTTCAGTAATAGTTGCTTTCTTAAGTAATTGTAGTGCTTCGCTTATTTCTTTTTCTATTATTTTTTGTACTGCCCTTTGGTGATTATTAATTGT